TGTAGGGTATGGTTATCCAATCATTTCGATATGAAGGATCTGGGAGGGGCTGGTCATATCCTTGGGATCAAGTTTATGCAAAATCGCAAAGATAGGATGATAGGCTTATCTCAAACTACCTATATCGATATCATTCTAGCCCGTTTTAGTATGCAAAATTCCAAGAAGGAATTTCTTCTTTCTCTGTCAAAGGAGCAGTGTCCTAAGACACCTGAGGAGATAGAGAGCATGAAGGCAGTTCCTTATGCTTCGATAGTGGGAAGTCTCATGTATGCTATGCTTTGCACTAGACCTGATATCTGTTTGTCATTGGCATGGTTAGTAGATATCAGTCTAACCCTGGGCAAGAATATTAGACTACGATAAAACGTATTCTCAAGTACCTGAAAATGACAAGAGATTATATGTTAGTTTATCAGACAGATAGTCTAGCACCCATCGGGTACAGTCAGATAGGGATTCTAGAAAGTCAACTTCAAGATATGTGTTTACTCTAGGAGGTGGAGCCATAAGTTGGAGGAGTATCAAGCAATCTTGTATTGCTGATTCCACCATGGAGGCCGAATATGTGGCTGCTTTTGAAGCAACCAAAAAGGTAGTTTTGTTTAGAAACTTCCTAATGGATTTAGAAGTGGTACCCTTGATAAAATCTGCTATTACACTTTATTGTGACAATAGTGGAGCGGTTGCTAACTCGAAGGAACCACGAACCCATAAGAAGGGGAAGTACATTGAACGCAAATATCACCTTATACGAGATATCATGGGAAGAGGTTATATAGTGGTGACCAAGATTGCATCAACAAGCAACCTGGTAGATCCCTTTGCAAAGAGCTTGCTAGCAAAGACTTTTGATAGTCTTGTGAAGGAAATGGGAGTTAGATGTATGACAGCATGACTTCGAGTATAAGTGAGAGAATTGATAGAGTAGTATACTAAAAGTTTACTTTTTGTAGTGAAACTCATTTTATTAATTAACAAAATTTTGTTCTTTTCATTTTATTGAGAATCTATATGGACAAAATATTTGTATTATATTTTATATATGATATACATTTGTGTCTTATATTTTACATTGTAGATAATCTAGTACATAAAGTTCGGCTTATACACAGAAAACCAGATTATCGGATCCTTGTTTAATATGAGTATATTTTCACAATTGGAAACGCCATCGGTATAATTGTAGTATAATATTCTGACATAGTTTGTCTTGACTATAAGAGATTGTTTGATGTCTCAGATTATTGTACTAGTACACTTTGTGTATTAAACAGACTCATGTTGAGGTTATTATCTTTTACTGATTTAATAAGATAATAAATACCTCATGATTATTATGATTGTCTATGCTTTTAATCCCTAAATATATTAATTGACATGTGCATATAATATTTGTAACTTTTAATTCATCAAATAATGAGATTCATATTTAGTCAATAAGCTTAGTGAATTGGAAGACGATGTTTATTTGTATGGTAGAAATTAAATATTAAAGGAAACCACGTCTTAGTATTTAAATGAGTTGATGATGTCCTCTTGAGAAAGTTCATAAGTTTTGTTTATGTTAAATCCTGCAGATGAATTAAATTATTCGACATGATAAATAAGTTGAGTGGTAAGGTCTCAAGGAATAAAAGAAGTCAATTAAATATAATTGTCATTGATTTATTTAATTGATAGATATCTGTAATTTAAAACGTTGAGAGATTATTAAGTATATAATAATAAGGAGTTCGAATATAATTTTGAGATAAAGCCTAAGAGATCAATAATAAGTCTTTAGTGGACTGACTTATATTAATGGGTTGTAGGATGTTTGTTCTGCGTTGAACATAGGAATCTTAAGCCCATTGGGAGCCCGTTCCTTATTTCTCCTTAGGGTCTCTATCGTAGCCTATATATAGACGTCTAGGTTCTCTATTTCTGCATCTTATCTTTACTGACGTTTTTTAGGGAGGCTGGAAGAGAGAACAAGTATTCAAAGGTTTTGGCAACCCATACTGCATTCGAATTTTGACGTTGGAGAATATATGGCAGAAGGCCACGAGGTTTGTCGAGTTGTAGTCGTTGTTCTGTTCTGCGTTCGTGCTGAGACGAGGTTAGTCCCGTGAGATCTTGAAGGTAAACCCTAATTCCGCTTTGTAGGGTAAGAAAGGAAAATTTTTCATATTTGATACATACGCGCTTTCAACGGTTCTTGGAATTTTTGTTCCAACAGTCTTCTCATCCCTATTCAACTATTCCAAGAACTTCTTTTGTTCGGACAACAGCTCATTAGATTTCTCTTCAAGTTTAGCACTCAGGGGCGGTGATTTTTTCTTCAAAGCCTGTACTTTCACCAAGAGAGGAGTAGGATAGACTAGTGGTCAAGATAGCGAGTTGGGCGGCCAAATAGATAATTGAATAACAAGAGTATAGGACAAAAAGAAAACATTCGAAAGAAAGAGGAGAGGGGATATAGAGCTTACCTTCCCAATGGTTAAGGCCAAGTTTTTTGTCACCCATCTAGGTCCCAGGTTAAAGGTAGCTCTCAGCTCCTATTCATGCACAAATTCATGAAGTCGGGTTATGGCTCCCTCTACATTGTCCCACATGCTGGGATGAAGAGCATAAGAAACCCCAATTGAAGCTGGGAGGGGTTTTTTCTCCTCCCCAACAGCCTCAGATGCTTTCCCAGAGGACTTTTATACCAACCAAGAAACCCCAATTGTTAAGAGTCAACTAAGAGGGGGCTAAATTTAGATATTGCAGGGCCTCCCTAACATGGGAGAACAAAGCCCAGCCTCAAGAATAGACTCATAGAAGTGAACCTTGTTAGGACCGTAAGAGTTCGTTTTCTCATTTGGACAGGGAACCTTGAGGTGATCAGACTTGGGGGCTTGAAACAGAGCCCTACTTTCGTTAATAACGTTCTTATCAAGGGTGCAATGAAAAATCCATGCTCCTGCAACATTGATCGAGGAAAAGGGGATATTGAGTAATAAATCAGAGTTTTCATTAGCCTTGTTGGCTTTCGACACTAGAGCAAGAGTAGTTTCAGAGATGGTCGATCGGAGTTGCTAGGCATAGGGACAAAGCTGCGACAATTGGCGTACATATTGGGTGGGGGAAGATGACTAGGTCTTTGATTAAGCAAAGAAAAAGAAAGACTCAAGAACCAATTCAAGTCGGGTTGTACTAGATTGGTCTACAAAGAACCCTAAGGAAGCAAGAGAATGACACTTCCACTGTAAGAGATAGAAACAATAGAAGTAGAATTGAAAGTGTGACTCCAGCCAACGTGCTCCAGTTTGAAGATCAAAGCCAAAAGAAAAAGAGTATACCAGAGCTTCTTGAATTATTGGAGAAGTGTCGAAGACAGAGGAAGAGACGTGTTTAAATACTAGGCTCCACAATGGATATTTGTCGGTTACATCTGCACGTCCCATGTATTGTCTCCGTAAGGCACGAATGGACAAATGTATTAAGTAACAAAATACGTGTCAAGAAGTACTTTTTGAGACATACTTATTTAAAAATTATTTTTTGAATATTATAAGTCATCCCTAATGCAGCATATATCATTAGTAATGCGTGATATTAGCAACCGTTTAAAAGATATGTTAACAAATACCTTTTAAAGAATTATATTATTTGTTGGATGATGTAATAATTATAAATTGTCACCCGAAAACTGCCAGCTGTTGCGAAAGAGCACGAAAAATTCCGAAATGGAATGCCCAATAAGACGGTTGTTATGAGACATAAAACACTGCCACACTTTTTCCCCATAGTTGGATCATGTCTTGATGTCTAGGTTCAATGAATCTAAGTAGATCTCCAAAAAATCTCTTATGCTTTTTTTTTTTTTTATTTTGAAAAACAATGTCATCTATTGTTTTAAAAAAATGTTATGACGATTAAATTTAGAGACCTAATTTAATGTAATTATTAAATTAGTTATAAATTTTAATATTAAATAAAATTTATTTTAATCTAATATTTATATCACATTATATCTCTAAATTAAATATTCAAATTAAATTCAAATAGTATTTTTCGTTATTTGACCTCTTGACTCAGGCCACACATTTTGAATGCCCTTTGGTCGCCATGAATAAGATGCAAGGCGGTCAAAATTCAATCCGGAAAACGTCCAAGTTCAATGCACCTAGACATCCGCGCTTTCAAAAGATGACTTTTGAATTCGGGGGCCCGGTTACCATGCGTACATAACATGCCAAATGCATGAATTACATATTGCATTCGTTTTACCATCTTTAATTTATGTACTTTAAAAACCATTAAGACAAAATAACTTTCAGAAACCATCATCCTTAAGCTCCGTCATATTCGTTTGAGAGGTTATCAAGGATTTTAACATGGAGAAATGATAGTATTTCAAAATTTTGTTAGAAAATAAGATTTGATATATTATAGAGTAAAGTAATAAGTATAGAAAAATTCTCGCTCTATTGATGACACAAAAGGATGACCAAAGAATAATGATAAATATCTTTTGTTTTTTGAAATAATGATAAATATCATTACTAGTTAAAGACCCCTATAGTTTTATAAGTGGTTCACCTACTACATGCGACAATAAATCTAAGTTTTTATTTGACCCTCTATCTAAAGCTACTTATAATTTTTCATATACATGTCTAAAAAAGATGAATGCTACATTAACTACAAAAAAGTGAAGATTTCTTTATTTTGTGACCTCTTAGGATGCACATATTTTTTATTCTTTAAGAATACTTAGTTTGTTTAAGATTTATAATTTTCTAAGGAAAAATCATTAAAATGTATGATAATTTCCAATAATACCTAGATTCTCAAACGGAAAGGATTGTTTAGCAAAAAAAAAAAAAACTAATTTATTAATGTATTCACAGTTTATCAAACCCATTTTGTAAATAGAAAATTTGAGGTCTGTCCATATAATTATCATATCATGATAATATGTATGCCCATTTGCTTCTAAACTTGTCATGCATTGTCACATGTACACCTAGACACAAGGAGGAACACACACTAATGGGCACTCCATTACGTCATCCACCTTTGTTCTGCCATCTATAAATAGGCCCTTCCCCACCATTCAGCGCGTCTGATAAACCCGAAGAACAAAAACGGAGAGAAAGAGGGAGAGAAAGAAGAGGAGATTCAAGCTCTAGGGTTTAAGCCCTAGCCACATTGTGTTCTCTCTCTGTTTCTCTTACAACCTGTACACAGATTTATCACTTTATAAGGCATTCCCTTTGATTTGACCAAATTTCAGGTAAAATCTCAAATTCCTGTTTATTTTGAAACCACTATTCTCTATTTCTCGATCTGGCTATTTAATTATTTGAATGGCCATTTTTATTTTATCCTGTTTGATTGCTGAGAAAAGGAGAAAACGAAAGCAAAGGGAAAATAAATTTATTTATTTATCTGGTGGTTTATGTTGAGTGCTGGAGTTCTGAAGAATATTAGGCGACCTTATCTGGGTTTTAGCTAAAAAAAATTGTGTTTTGATTATGACTGTTGTTCTAGTGTGAAAATTAATTCAGTATTCTGTTGTACAAATTTTCTCATCAACCAAACAGGGCTTCTGGTCCTTGATCTCTTGTTTGTATATCGAGAAATTTAGTCAGGTTACAATGTTTGCATTCACAGATTTATTATCGTACATGTTTTTTTTTCAAAAAAAAAAATTTCATGATTCTTCTATTAACATTTTTGCGTAAATTTCATTTTATTTTTCTTCTTACACCCAGTACATCAACACCAAAATGATCTAAATTTTTGACGTGTGGAGAGCCTCTTAACCTCACCTCACGTGGTTTTCCCAATCAATGTGGAACGAATTTTTTTTTTTTCAATTAAAAGTATCCAAGGGGGAACCTTGAAGACAAAGACTCCTTTTCATACCCAAAGGAGTCTGAATTTCGATTGGCTTTGGCGAATTTAATTGTTTCCATTTTTGGCTTATTTTCACTTCTATCCTCTTGTAGAAGATGGGATGAGTCCACCTAGTGACGGTATCTTTTTGGCGTTGTCCCTCTTTCTCAACAGATTCGGCCAAAATTTTATATTTTTATGTTACTATTTACATTGTTTTGACTCCACATTCCATGCGTAGAAAAGTATTGTGTGGTTCACACAACAAAAAAACTGTTTTTGACTGTCTTTTGTATGCCTTGAAAGATTTTGCTCTTCAACTTTAGTCTCTGTGGAATTGACATCGTTGGGTATCAGCAGATCTTCATTTCTGGGAGTTGTATAGCCATGGTGTTCTGGGTTTTCGGCTATGGTTCATTGGTATGGAACCCTGGATTTGAATATGATGAGAAAATTGTAGGCTTCATTAAGGGGTACAAGCGTGTTTTTAATCTTGGTGAGTACTTGCTATGGTAAAGGAGGTTGAACATGTGATAAGCGTTATCTAGTCGTAGATTTCTTTTGTTTCCCCTATGCATGACTTCTTTTTTGCCATTTCCTTGTGTTTGCTAGCATGCATTGATCACAGAGGCACACCTGAACACCCTGCAAGAACCTGTACCTTGGAACCCAACGATGGAGCCATCTGTGTAAGTTGATATCTTACATACTTGCTTGTGACATTGTAAAATATCCTCCTCAGATTTAACCGCACTGTCTAATTTGGCTTTTCCCTTATTTCACATCTTACTTACTTTTTTCGGCCGAGTAAAATTTGGGATTTGATCCTTTTACTTCCCCTGATTCATTTTCTAACACAGTGCCAGAATTCTCTGAGCCAGTGCTTATATCTGTGTCTTTCTGACTTGTGATTCTTCTGTCAGTGGGGTGCTGCTTATTGCGTGGGAGGAGGCTTGGAAAAGGAACGAGCAGCAATGGAGGTAATGTCAAGCTCTGTGGACCATTTTTTGTTGATCAAGAAAAAAGTCCAGTTCTGTGGACACTTCAAAGATGAGCAGGTCCAGCTGTACATGCAGTTCTAAACAAGGAAAGCACTACGGTACCGAAGTGGTACCATACCGAAATTTGTTGTCGACCATTTGTTTGTTACCATTGATTTTGACAATAAAGAAAATATAAAATAATTTAAAAAAACTTTTCTCGTGTCATGTTTTGATTGGTGGAAAATAGGAGGTGGTATGCTCTAAAACAATAAGTTACAAATGGTCACCTGTGGTGGACATCGCATTACTAGTTTGTTTGTCAATTAAATGTAAATTTCTCATTTACAAATTTCAAGTGCACAGCTGCAACATGGTGTTCTATCTGCTTCTCTCCCTTACCCTTTTCCAAGTAGCACTTGACGTGCTTGTATTTCTTATTTGTTTTCCAGTTCCATTATGCCAGAAATGATACTGATATGTCTCTTTGTTTGTAGTATTTGGAACGAAGAGAATGTGAGTATGATCAAAAGACTTTGGTCGACTTTTTCAAGGTGAGCCATGCTTTAATGAGAGTCTTCACTTGAAGTTTATTCAAATTTTTTATACTCTGGGTTACTTCCCTTCTGGAATTTAAGAGTTACAATATGTTACTACCCAAGAACTGCTCCTCCTCTCCCTCTGTGCATCGCCCTTGGAGGGTTCATTGGCATTTGAAATTTTACTAATGTGATTGATGGTTTTAATTTTTACATGAACGAAAAACAATAACAATTACCTCCATAAGAAAACAAGCTGTAAATGTAACAATTGATTACCTAGTTATTCAAGTACAGTCTGCAACTGCTTGTTTTTATTATGTTGTGCTTTTTATTTCAGGATGGAGATACCATACAGCCTGCTATAACTGGAGTGATAGTGTAAGCCTGTCACTGCCCCTGTGTGTGTGCGTGTGCGTGTGCGTGTGTCGAGAAGCATCTTTTTTCATTCTATACATACATTTTGCAGTTTCACATCCACTCAGGACAAGGAATCAAATAAGTACTACCTAGGGCCTGCCCCTTTGGAAGATATGGCCAAGTAATCAATCTGGATCACACGCTCCAATTTCTTTCTTTCATTTCTGTATTTTCTTGGAAGACATTGCTTCAATTATGTCTGGATTTCTTGTTTTCCTTTTTAGGCAAATTGCCACTGCCTTTGGGCCCTGTGGGAACAACAGAGACTATATTTTCTTATTGGAGAAGGCCATGTTTGATATTGGTAAGTTTTCTTGTTTGGCTTCCAATAGCATGACCATGTTAAAATATTTAAACATGTCTTTGTAAAAATGCCTGGTTTGATGCAATTAAATTTATATATACAAACAGGTCATGAAGATGACTATGTCATAAAGTTGGCAAATGAAGTTAGGAAGGTCCTTGGGATTGTAGTTGTGGGGACACCAAAGGAGAAAAGGTTGGTTGGGCCTTCTCACATCATACTCCAGACCCATATCCCACCTCTTCATCTGCGTCCGCTTCCAGAAGCTGTTGCCATGGACTACTAATGGTAGAACACAGGTCACCGAAAAGGACAATAAAAGATGGAGCTTTATATAACCTAATTTGATTCCTTTCTTGGCATCTCTCCAGCGAAAGACTACAGTTTAGTACTTAGCAGCTTCTGTGTTTTCCGGAAGCAGGCTTTTCTTTTCTTCCTCCTCTTAACTGTTTGGAATATTTTATTCTTTGATCAGAGAACCGCAGTATGTGGTTTAAACTGAGTGGACTGGCTAACTACCACAATTCACAATACGATGAGTGTTCCATGTAACTGTAGCAATGATTTCTCTAGATTTTGATCAATGAAGAAAAGCGGTGACATTTTTCTACGTGTGAAATCTAAGGTTTTTTTTTTTTTTTTTTTTTTTTTTTGGGGGGGGGGGGGGGGGTTCATATGCTGAGATTTACTAGAGCTCGTTGTTTCCTTGAATTAATAACTGGTTCTTAGATTCCCTCTGAGTGATTGATCTTTTTGGGAATCAAGAGTAATTGTAGGTGCCCATCGGTCATACCACTAATGGAATTTATTTGGATGTCCTTCATAGTAGATTCTCTCCAATCCTTCATCTGTGTATTGGTGAGTGGAATCAATCAAACATGTAACGAGTTTGACTTGGATTTATGATATTGTTCAGTTGGTGGATGGGATTTCAATCTGCAAATTCCATGGCAAGTGAAACTATGGATACAGAGGAAAAAGAAGGTTCTAATTGAATGGACAGCTTCCAAATACTTCAAAGAATGATATAAAATGAGAATAGGGGTAAATGGCCTCAAAAGCCATCAAACGAACCCAAACGACTGAATTCAGGAATTTTTAGGAGGGATGCGAACTAAGTCTTCGACTAGATTTTGCAAAACAAATTAGATTCTGGATCAGAGCTAGTGAAATGACTTTGTTCTAGTTTGTGCAATTTGTATAGGACTGTAACTTGGAATCTGCCACCGTACCTAGGGATACGTGCCTATGTAATGCTTATGTGTCTTGTTTAGCGGAGGCACTACTCCTTCGAACTTGAATTTTTTCAATTGCTGAAGTTCGTCTTACCTTGATTCGATAGTTCTTCTTTTAAGATTGAATTCATACTAAATCCTCTAATGCTCTTGAGGCTCGTACTTATAGTCCGAATGATGAATCGAACGACAATACAAAGTGGTGAAATTGCTATCCTAAAAACCTTGGCCTAGCCAGCAATTTATTATGTCACAAAGTAGGTTGAAGGAGAATCCTAGGCTAAGGGTGTAACTAGAGCGGATTGAGGGGTCAACCCTACGTATATAATTCTTAACCCTAATCCTAAGTTGACCTCAACTTGAGTATTGTCTAAATTTAATTCGGGTAAACTCGGGTTAAATTTAAATTACGTCATTTGCGTAAATTTTGGGTAAGAATTTAGGTTAAATTCGGGTTACATAATTCAAGTTGATTGCGGGTTAGAATTCGGTGGGTTCATTCAAGTTCGATCAAATATTTATCTAAAGTAACAATCAACAATTTCAATTAAATATTTAATATAAAGATCATAGTATTTAAAACATAAAAATCAATGTTTAAGATAAAAACATGATAGCCAAATTTTAACATAATACTGAACCAGAAGACGATCCATAGTATTTTAACTTGTAAGTTATATTGATTTACGTATTTATTTACAAATATGTTTGAGTTGAGCCCGATTTATATATTTGGTTGAACCCAATTTAAAATTTGGGTTGAGCTCGATTTATATATTCGGGTTAAACTCGATAACTCGATACTTCAACCGAAGTATTACCCGAATTTAATTCAAGTTAGTATTTTTCTGTCTAGGTCTAACCTAAGTATTAAAAACTTGAGAAATTTGAAGGTCGGTCCCCCTATACAGACTTGTTTGAACTTAAGTCCGCTAATAAAACTTATTTGTTATGAAGTCATTTTTTTTTATCAATTTTACCAGACTATTACTTCCCTTAGAAGTGAAGTAAAACTAAAAATTTAAAATTTCTAAATTTTAAGAGTTTGATTAACTTTAAAAAAATTTCTCTCATATCTATATATATTCATATATAGGTTATGACTATATATATCTTATATATATACTAAAAATTGCCCGTGCCTGAAGGCATTATAACAAACAAAAAAAAATCACAAACAGTGTCAATGCCTATCGATTCATGATGAATTTTAACCTGCTTAATCCATGTCAATTCGTGTCGGTTAATCGTGTCGTGTTGAATTTTGATAGGCCTAGTTGTCAGTGCCTAAAGATTGTATAAAACCAAAAAAAAAAAAAAATCGTCGATTACAATTAATAAAAAAGAGAGACAACTTAACGAAAAGTTGATTGTCAATAAACTTTTAATTATCAATTTAACATTGAAGAAAATTTAAAAATACTTTGTCCATCATACCCCAAAACCAGAACAATGAATAAGAGATAATGACTAAATTGAACAAAGAGAGGACTAAATGTGTTCACAAAAACACAACAATATAGAACCCACGACTTTCTATAGTAATCCAAGCATACACACATCTCATTAACTGTCTACAACCTAAAATAAATTGCAACAGTCCATAAAATAGTCTCATGAATATGCAAAAACGTTGTGAATACATAAGCCTCATGAATATATCATGGGTATGCATCTAAACTTAACAACTTCCACCGTGCAATAAAAAACATATTCAAACATAACAATATCAACGAACAACAATCAAGTTTTCTACCAAAAACTACAACTCCGAAAATACGCATCAATACGAAAAACCAACAAATCAAATTTGAGTAAAGTACAACAAATGTGAGGAAAAATCTAATCAACCAAGATAATAAATCAAAAATCACAAACCTCAAACCAGATAATAAAATGTATGGTTTGTTGATTCATTGTACTATTTGCAGACAATGTTCATAAAATTGTTGATTCAAAATGCACGATTTCAAAATCAATAATTAACTTTATTTAAAAACATTACTATTGACAAAATAATTAATTGAATTCATAACTAATGGAATGAGAAATTGCAAGAATTCTCCAACAAACAAAATAAGTATGATGTCAAATGACCCATTAAGTATCCATCAACTTCCAAAAGAATGTATACAACTTGAAAAAAAATTATAGTTAGATTGTTTTTCTTAAAGTAAAAACATACATTTTTTATGAACTAACCTTTGTATGTAGCAAGAAATCAAACTCAAAATGTTTCCCTCTTGATCTCGTCAACCAAAATACAAATGTTATCAACAATTATTTATGAACTACATAATGTTGTAGCTGTGCCAAGAAGTAAAAAACATAAAAGATGAACAACTATCATAACATTAAAGATCGAGAAAAGACATTGTGGATTTCGGCTATATTTCAAGAATTTTGCAAGAACTCGTAGCAATGATATTGTAATTTTTAAATCAATCAATCGAGCCTCACTAAAACAAATACAAAAATAAATATGTAGATAGAGCCATAACTCAATTTTTCCAATGTTCATTACTAAACAATCAATTTCCAAAACTAATATTCAAAATAGACTTAACAATGGGGGAAAACAACATTCTGCAACTTGTACAACTAACAAAATTCGTAACTTAATAATGATCATCTTTTTCTTAATACTTTTGATACTAAAAAAAAATAATTGAAAGCAAATACTACATGCAACAATGTGCAAATATACTCCTAATTTATTATGTCCACATAAAGAAAAACATTGAGATTGGACATTCAACTATTAAACACGAATTTTAGTGATAGTCGGTAAATTTGATAGTAAAAAAATCAATAACATAAACAAATATTTAGTGATAGTAGATAAATTTGAAACAATATTAAAAATCATGAATATTAAACAAACCTGGACTATTAGACTATTAAACAAATCTGGACTGTTGTCCAGCGAAATAGAGCAGCAGCAAGAGAGAGAGATGGATAGTAGCAGCACCCGCAGACGAAATCCAGTGTCAAAAATCAAAATTACCAACCTATGATAAAAGAATAATGAAATTTTTTTTAGAGACAAAGAGGGATGAACTAAGATGATTGCTGGATTTTTAGGATGAAAACTTTTTTGGTGTTTTCTGTTAAAAATTTTTAATCCGCGATCAACCTAATTCATTTTTGCTGGATTTTTGTGCGTGCATTCTATTTTTGTGTGGGGGGTGTCTGGCATGTGTGTTGTGCATGGGGGCATTTTGTCAAACAAATTATGTGCGTAGTCTGTTGTGCGTTGTGTATGTCCTATGTAGTCAACGGAGAGGGAGAGAGAGAGAGATTCGGAGAGAAGCACAGAGATGGACAAATAGAATATTTTTTTGAATGGCTTGGTCTGGCTAGAGGGAGGTCCAATGGTGTGTAGTACAAATTCTTTTATAGTCAAAATTGTACTGCAAAGAAGAAGATATGGAAGCCATATCCACCCCTTATATCACATTCTACCTTTGTTTATAACTAATATAACTAATTCAATTCCAATAGACCACGAATTAAAGTTCATGCAAAAGATCATTCATGGCCTCTTTCCAATGAACCCGACAACACCACCACTACTGCAAATTTGCATTCAAAAGGCTTAATTATGGTGAAAATGTAGTGTTTAATCATTCAACATTAAAATTACAATGTACCTTTAGTGGGTCCTTGTTTTCTATTTTTTTGTTTGTTAATTTTCAAAGTAGCTAATTCATTTTTGCAGGATTTTTGTGCATGCATTAAGTTTTGTATGGGGTGTCTGGCGTGCGTGTTGTGTGCTATGTGTGTGTATGAAGCGTCTCTGTGTTTGTGTGCTTTGTGTGTGTGGGTGAGATGAGTGTGTGCATATAGTTAGGGGAATATAGATTGGGGCATTTTGTCGAACATATTGTGTGCGTAGTGTGCATGTCCTGGGTGTGTAGTTCGTTGTGTATGTCCTATGTAGTCAGCGAAGAGAGAGATGGAGTGGGAGAGAAGTAGAAAGATGGACAAACAGAGATGAGAGATGAGTAGCGGTGTAAAGGGGATGAGAAATAGAAAAAAAAATTTAGATACTTAGGCAACTTCTGAGTGTTGAGCAGTGGGTGGCGGTGGCTGTCATTTTGCAGTGGTTTTGCTTCGCAGAAGAGGGCAGCGATGGAGAGCTGGATGTGAGGGAGAGTTGGGCGTGAGAGAGAGCTGGGCTTGTTGAGCAGTGGGTGGCGGTGGCTTTTGCTTTGTAGAAGAGGCAGCGATAGAGAGCTGGATATGAGAAAGAGCTGGGTGTGAGAGATATTTGACATAGGGGATATTTGGAAAGATTTTAGGTGAATATTGAGAGGAATTCCATGAGAGATTTTGGGGATGAGTTTGAAAAGCAGGGATTTTGGGGAATAGAGAGAGGGAGCATAAGAGGGATTTGGAAACATTTGAGAGGGAGAGATAGAGGCATGAGATTAGGAGGTTCGAAAGCATTAATTTGTAAATTAGAGGTCTAAAATTTGGGAAGCATAAATAGAAGGTGTGTTGGGCTGAAAAACAAATTTCATTGGTCATTCTGATTCATAGGATTAATATTGTTTAGTTGATCTGAACCACAAAAAATTAGAGATAAGATAGATTATTGGATATAACTTATCTTTTACTCAAAATTGATTTGAGCCGCGAAAACCTCAAGATAAGTTTTGAGATTCAAACTCATCTCTACTTTAATTTATATATATATATTAACATTAACAATAAAAAAATAGTAACATTTAAACACAAAAAATAATATCATTTAAACACAAAAAATAGTATCATTAAAAAATAAAAAATAGTAATATTGTATATTAATATTTGAAAAATAATAGTAACATATTCAATAAAAAAATTGTAACATTTAATATTGATATTTCAGAAAAGTAGTAATATTTAATATTAATATTAAAAACAAAAAATATTAAAATTCAAACACAAAAAATAGTACAATTTAAATACAAAAAATAGTACCATTTAAACACAAAAACATAATAACATTCAAAAAATAAAAAATAGTAGCATTGTATATTAATATTTTAAAAAAAAAAACAATAGTAACATACTAAAAAAAAATAGTAACATTGATATTTTCAAAAAAATATTTACTCAATATTAACAGTAACATGTTTATCAAAAAAAAAAAATAGTAACATGTTTAATAAAAAATAGTAACATGAAAAAATGTATTAATATGAACAAGGCTAACAAAACAGAAATAGTATCATGGAAAAAAATTGTATCAATACAATGTCGTCTTCTTCATAAAAATACACAACCAACTAAATTGAGACTTAATTCGAAACCTCGCTGATCATGCAAAAAAGTAGTAACATACGAAAAAAAAAAAATAGTAACATAGCAAAAAAAAAGTAGTAACATGGTATTTCAAGAATTGAAAAAATAGTAACATGCTTGAGGGCATTTCGTCGAACCCCTTGTTGGTGCAGAGGAATACTCTGTTTTCATGTGTTGATGGTGAAGTTGATAATCATATCCAATCCAATGATGAATTTGATTTGGGAAAAGGTGATTCATTGGAGGTTGAAAATTTTACTTTCCATGATGAACCCATCTTACAGTTAGATGACATTGTTAGAAGCTGTTTGGGGGAAATTCTGGCTAATGAAATTCACCAAGAATTCTTTGAAGAAGAAAGTATGAGTTCTAAAGTATCATTTTTTGATAGAGAATTTGAATCAGAAGCCTCATGTAAGATGTTGGTGAATGATGAATACATCCAAGTATTTTCTTTTCTTAAATCAAATTTAGTTTTTGTTGGTGCTTCATGGACAATTTTTTGAGTTTTTTCAATCATGGTGGTGGACTTTGATTTTCAATTTGATCAATGTGTAACATACAAATAATGAATAAAAAATTTGAATATCAAATATTATGGAAAGATTGTGACAGACAATTATTAGCGTAAAATCAGGCAGGCACATCTTCTTTTTATATATATCTCAATGAATTAACCTCTCTGACTTTTCATAACTGGACAAAACTAACACCGTTAGAGATATTTTTGAGATTAAAAAAAAAGTGGACTTAAATATCTACATATAAGTTTAAAAATGTACTTACCCCCAAATAAATTTACTTGTCAGACTCAAGTCATTATAAGTCCATCTAGTTGGACTCAGATTCAATTTTCACTAAACAGTTCAATCCAAGCTCTATTTTTTTTTTTTTTGAGTTGAGTTCGGGTTGAATTCAAATTTGCCTTTCTTTACATTTGAATTTGTCCATTAGAATGTCTTGTACCAAATCAAGTATTGTACTCATTTGTTTTACTAAAATTTGAGTTTGACTCAACATTAGAGATGCCCTAACTAGACCCTCTTTCCACATATTAAGACCAGCTTGAGGTTTCTAAGTCTCTAGGCTAAGTAACTATTCAACATTCCGTGACCACACAAAATCACAATTAGAATGCCTTCTGGTGAGACTCCATTCTTCTTAGCCTTTGGACCTGAAGCAATAATCCCAACCGAAGTAGGTTTGACATATTATAGGGTAGAACACTTCATACCTGAGTAGAATAACATGTAGTGCAACGAGGTTGAGGTCGTTTTCTTCAGAGCAAATTTGTGTGTATGTGAAATGGAAAAATTGTGCTCGTGTGTGTAGTGGGTATGATTGTGTGCATCTATAAATGTGTGTTGATGGGACATTTTCAGAATACTCCAAGATGAAGACACGTGTCCTCGGTGTCACTGATCCTTGTTATCGAGATCACGTACCCATCAGGTCACAAGTCCCCTCTACCCCGAGGTACTTATCATGGGATCGAGTGGCATCCAGTACGTTTTTATGTACCGACACGTACCCTCGGTCTGATATGGTACATCGGTCGCTAGGCCTCCCCCTCTCGGATTCAAGATGTACCTATTCCTCGGTTCCGAGATGTACCTCTTCCTCGGCTCCGAGATGTACCTCTTCCTCGGCTCTGAGATGTACCTCTTCAACGGTACCGAGATGTACCCCTCTCATCCAGGATGAAGTTCTCTGCTCCAGCAGAGGCTATTGATGCACTGGTCACTAGCCTAGGCTAGGCTAGGTTAGCTATCATGACCTCGTCTTACACAATTGGTGTCAGAAGGCACAGGAAGGCAGGGACCACAGCCAATGAGGAATGGACGCGTGGCATATTGTGTCACATCAGAGACAGAAAGACCGCATGACCTTGCTGACATGCGACTTGGAAAAACAAGCATTTAATTACACCATTCCCTTAATGAGACTGCATTCAATGCGGTAAGGCTCAGAAGCGAAAGGCAATAAATGTCTCTAAGGCTGGGCATTTATTGCATCCTCCCTGAGAGGAGCTCATTGAACCGTCGGCAGGCCGATGACACAGTCTTGATTGCTCGGGGTCCCGAGTAGTTAAGAGAGAAGACATTCCTCATAGGAATCAGTGCGCACGTTGCCTATATCTAATGATCACCTACTGACCACACTGACAGCAATCATGAGTATTTGAGGTATAAATACTCCTCACTAAAGGCAAGAAAAAGGGAGGTGAAACTTTTGCTACAAATTATACTCAGTGTTTTCTTCTTCCTCTCTCTCAAAAACTGATTTGATCGTCGGAGGGGATACGCCGAAAAACACTCCGGCGTCTTTCTAACTTGTTCTTCTTTGTTTTAGGAACCTTTCTTTAGCCTTATTGGATCGTTCCTTTGATCCGCGAGGATCTCCCATTACCGTTCCAGGTTACCACCGGATCTAACAGGCTGTTCCAAACAGCGTGGTTGACCACCCAACTGACTCACTTGAGTTCACCAAGGGAGAGATCTGTTCTCGTTTTTATATTGTGCAAGATCTAGCACGCACAATCTGGCGCCGTCTGTGGGAAACGACTAGTTTTCCTAGTTTTTTCTCTATAAAGAACAGTGACCATAGTGAACACTCGACAAAAAGGGAAAGGTCCCCACCAAATAAGTCTCGAATTACAAGCTCCCTGTCATCATGGAGGGAGGGATCACACTGATGGGAATAAAAATGCCTCTACTCAGTCAAGAGGGGTTACCCCTCAAACCACTATGGAAATCAGGTCAGGAGGATCAGCCCCCCTGGCTCGTCATCTGGCGGAGGTGATCGAAGAAAAATTTGGCGATAGATTACGACAGTTGGAAAAGGACAATGTAAACGTCCTAAGCCGGCTCAACGAATTTGTCGCCTCCGGCGAAGGGTCGAGGGACTCATTCCTCTCTCGTGGGCTCCCCGCCCGGGAGGCGAAAACGAAGGATCTAAGGAATCATCTAAACAACAAGGTAGAAAGCTCCAAGGCCCCAAAGCGACTGAGAGCCAATGAGCACCCTCCTGACGACCATTCAAGGAAGGCAAGACCATTAGCCCTGGATGACCTCCAGCGAGGATTGTCTAGACGGAGGAAGGGAGATGAGTCCGAGGAGGATTCTACCCTATCCACACGGCGCCCAAGAAATGGGGGGCCTATTGATGAACTCAAAGACTTCAGAAGACATCCCGTCAGGGAGGAAATTGATCTCAAAGCTCGGTTGGAATCTAGTAGAAAGAGTAAGACTGTCCAGGATGAGGTGGAAGACGAGGTCATACAAACACCCTTTACCAGGGAGATCAGAGAGATGGAGGTTTCAAGAAAGTTTGTCGTGCTGAGGTTCAAAACTTATGACGGGCGGTCCGATCCCGAAGCCCATCTCAGGCAATACAAGCAGATGATGTCCCTCTATCATTCGGACCAACGGTTCCTCTGCCGAGTGTTTCCTATGAGCTTGGGGGACTCTGCGATGAAGTGGTTCGAGGCGCTTCCCCCCAACAGTATTGAATCGTGGAAGGAATTGACGAGACAGTTCCTGGCTCGATTCATTACGGGGAGTAAGTGGCCCAAAGACGTTGGATCATTGCTAACGCTCAGACGTAGGGAATCCGAGACCCTTCGCCAGTATGCCATCCGATACTGGGAAGAGGTAAATGAGGTAGAAGGCTGCTCGGAAGTCATGGCAGCGGCGTCTTTTAGGCTCGGCTTGGCGAGGGACACGGACCTGTACCGATCCTTGACCAAGAAGACTCCCTCGGATATGGGCGAGGTGATGGCTCGGATAAACAAATACTTAAGGATCGAGGACGAGATGGGAAGCAGCAAAGGCCGAACCCTCCAATCTAAGAGAAAGGAGAGGGAGCGGGAAGATACTCCCCGAAAGGGATTGCTACCCCCTCCAGGGGGTTCGTCCAAAGGAGTTCACACTATGTTCAAGGAACCCATCTTCAAGTTGCTCCATAAAATCAAGCATGAGCCGTTCTTCAAGTGGCCGCCTAAGATGCAAAGCGATCCCTCCACCCGTGATCAAAAGGTTAGGTGTTCCTATCACCGGGATTTCAGACATCGCACCGAAAGCTGCAGGGCATACAAATCGTTCTTGAAAAGATTGGTCCGAGACGGATACTTGAAAGAATACGTAGAGCCCAGGCCAGAAGAGAGACACACCCTTGTCCCGACCGAGGAGCCGGACAACGTCATAGATGTCATCCATGTATGTCCCCTGGATCGCCCCACGTCCAAGGAACTCGAGTCCGACCTCAAGAGGGTAGCTTTTACAAGGAAGGTAGCCGAGGATGATGGGGGGCCACCCAGTAAAAGGGCCAGGACTGGTGAGCCTAGCATCACGTTCTCCGACGCGGACTTGACAGGCGTAGTGACTCCTCATAACGACGCCCTTGTCATAACCCTGAAGATAGGTAAATTCGACGTAAAAAGGGTGTTGATAGACTCTGGAAGTTCCTCGGAAGTGATGTACTTCGAGACTTTAAAACGGATAGGTCTTGGCCTCAAGGACCTCACCAAGGTCAGGACACCCCTCATCGGATTCAACAGCTCGTTCGCCCTGCCCGTAGGCAAAATCACATTGTCGGTTGTCACGGGTCCCTTCATCATCAACATCGAGTTTGTCGTAATTGATACGGACTCTCCCTACAACGTGATCATGGGGTGAACATGGTTGCACGCGTTGGGAGCGGTGCACTCCACTTACCACCAGAAACTAAAATTTGTCATGCTAGAAGGTATCATGGAGATCCGGGGGGACCAAGCGTCCGTAAAAAAATATTTTTATTAAGCTATTAGAGCCGGGGCGTTCACCCAAGAAAAGGGGCGAGCCCCGGAAGAGATCATGGAGAAATAGCAATCACAGTCCGGGCGTCCAGGAATGGATGACCCCCGGATAGACCCAACTGAGTGGTCGGTGGAGGACCTCCGGAAGGTGCCCTTGGTGGAGGGAGAAGAAGAAAGATATTTCTTGGTTGGGACCGCGATGCCCGCAGCTGAACAGAAGGAGATGATTGAGTTCCTAAGGGGAAATGCAGACGTTTTCGCTTGGAACGCAATGGAAATGACGGGGGTAGACCCCGAGATAATCACGCACAAGCTGCATGTTGACCCGGCACACAAGCCAGTCAAACAGAAGCCACGACGCATGGCCCCGCATCACGCCTGCGCGGTCAACGAAGAAATCGACAAACTCCTGAAGGCCAACGCCATTCGAGAGATACAGTTCCCAGAATGACTGTCTAACACAGTTTGCGCGAAGAAGAAGGGGGAAAAATGGCGTGTCTGCGTAGACTTCACAGATCTAAACAAGGCATGTCCCAAGGATGACTACCCCCTACCAAAGGTGGACCAGCTAGTGGACGCCACTGCCGGATATGAACGCATGGACTTCCTGGATGCCCGAGCAGGATATCACCAGATCCCTCTCCATCCCCC